TATGCTAGCCTTTCCCATATGTTTCTTTCTCTTTGAATTTCAATAATAGATTCAGTTTATTCCACATTTAGAGATCATGGTATTTGACATGAACATGGAATGCAAAAAACAAAAGGTATCAGGAGACATGCAAGACTGGGATGCATATGGGGATGAGGACATCAGTGTTATAAGCTAAGGGGTCAGCACTGTCTGTGCCATTCAATAGTAAAGAGCAGAGAGAGAGTGAACTCTCTTTTGTGGATCATAACTGCTGCTTTTATGATTTGTGCAAAAGGCTCATTCCCTATTTTTCAGGAGATGTTAGGTATTTGCAGTCTAGGCTCCATCCTCAGGAGTATGTGGAGGTCTCTATTTCCAGATGGACATTTGATAAGGGTAATGCTCTTATTCCCCCTATGTAACTAAAAACGTATGCAGAAGTCATCTAAATTTTTCAATACAGGGAAAAAACTACTTTTAACTGCAAATAAATATGAAAATCTGCCTCCTTTTCTGATTATACGTGCCTTTTATCAAGGATATAGGATTCTAGTCAGTTTCTATAAGTAAGAACCATAAAATGTTAACAGCTTCCTTTGGCAGACTGAATCTTACAATTTAATTTTTCAAAACATGTCCCACTTCTGATAAAGTTTTATTTTCTCAAATTTTCTCTGTATTTTTGTGACCTCTCCTAGCCTTTATGTAGTAGTCTACTCTGAAGTCATGATGAGAGAGAGAAAGCTCATTATAAAGGTTGCAGAGTGAATAGACTTGGGTTCAAACACTGGGTTCATGATAGTACCTTGACATCTTAACATCTCTGAATCCTATCAAAGCATTATTCCTTTGAACAGTGTGTATTTTTAGGGTATACGTATAACAGTGCATGTCCGTCACACTCATACACATACTATAGGATGTACTAATTAAGAGAAATAAAGCCAGACTCTGACATCTAGTGGGAAAATTAATTTAACCCTGAGGTTGAGGACCAGAGATAATTGATCTAATTAAATAACTACAGTGACTGTTAGTTGAAGATACTCAATATATGAGATAAAAAAAGACAAATGGAAAAACTGATGTGGAAATGCAATGAGAAAAGTGTTTTTTATTGTAGATCGATTTGCTCGAGCGGGCCCAGTAACGTCTCCATTGGAGACTTTGTTGTTACTGTGTTTGGCATATCGAATACATCACGGGGCCAAACAGTGATGTATCATATTTGTGGGGTAAAGATTAAAAATCACATGACAATCTCAATAAGTGTATAAAAACATTTGATAAAATACCCATTTCATGATAAAGGCCATATACAATAAATTCATAGATAATATAGTATTTAACAATGAACAGTTTAAATCATCCCTTCTAGTATTAGGAATATGATATAAATACCCACTTATTGCTTTCATCAAGAGTGTATTGGTAGGGGCTGGAGTGATAGCACAGCTGTAGGGCATTTGCCTTGCATGTGGCCCAACCTGGGTTCGATTCCCAGCATCCCATATGGTCCCTGGAGCACAGCCAGGAGTAATCCCTGAGTGCATGAACCAGGAGTAACCCCTGTGCATTTCTGTGTGTGACCCAAAAAGCAAAAAAAAACAAAAACAAAAACAAGAGTTTATTTGTAGTTTTAACTATAGCAAGTGTACAAGAAATGGAATAAAAGATAGTCAGATCAGAAGGGGAGGATTAAACTTCCTTATCAACATATATTTCTATCAATATATATTGATAGTTCAAATATATAGCATATATTGGAATAAATATATTTGATAATAGTTAAATATATTTGAATGCATTGATCTGTCAAATTTTATACTACACAATGTTTTATGTACCACTGGGGGGTTTGTTTGTCCTTTTGATCCTATTTTTTTGTATGATTTTATTTTCAAGCAAATAAGCCAATATTTGCTCGATTGTTGGATATTATAAACATTGAGTGTCGCTAAATTATTTCCTCCAGAAAATGTTGACTCTTATTCTGCACCAGTGATATGATTCCTGAAGACTGAGCTCCAGATTTCTTCAGGAATTAGTTTCTTCTGTTTCAGCTCCTTGAGGCAATTTCCCCTCCAACCCAAACTCTAAAGTGTTTATGAAACCTTGTATTTTTATGTGGGTCATGAACATCAATTTTTATTTTACTTGCATACAGATCTCCAATAAATGGCATTTTAAGTTTTTCCTGTTTGATTTGTTTCTAAGCTGGTGTTATGTGGGAATACATAAGAACCTCGAAGGATGGGGTCAGAACAAATGCAAACTGTGTGATTTTTCTGCATCTCCCTACTTTCAGGTGTCTGGACCCCCCTTTTCTGTTTTGGCAAGCTAGAACTCTAGGTTTTGTGTTTGCAGCCTATGATATTGTTAACTTCTCTGAACTTCAGTTTCAGTCTCTGGCCAGTTCCCAAACCTTTCAACCCAGGGCCCTCCCAGGGAGGGAAGGGGTTATGTAGCAGACCACCACTTACTCCTGAAAACTTAATTTTAGGACCTTGCATACCAGGACTTTCCTCAACTTGTGTTTTAAATAGATTTCTTTTAGCTTATTCTTTTGATGTATTTGCACTTTAGTTGCTCTTGGTGGGAGTATTGGCTTCCTACAAGCCATTTTGTCATAGTCAGAAGTACAAGTTCCCAACAACCTATATTATCACCAAGCTTGGCCAGACTCAAAATTCCTTAATATTTCTTCTTTGGCAGAACTCAATAACTAATTTTCTTGCAAATATGCCCACAAAAAGTAAAATATTTGTCATGAGAGATGAACACATATAAACTTCTACTTTATATATTCTACTCTTCATATCATTTATAGTCAGGTCTTTCTGTTTTTATATGTACCAGGAAACAGTTCTGGATACTTTTAAGGTAAAGTTGATTAAAAAATAAATAATAATAGAATGTCATTGTCACAAAACCCTCTTTTCCTGTGTCCTGGATGTCAGAGAGCCTTTTCTAACTCTGTGTTGCCTTAGGTTCTTAAGAATTCTCTTTGGGTCTGTGCATGCTTGAGTATTTCCACAGGCCTCTCCTCTCTTCTGGGGCTCTTCCTCATTCGTACCATAGTTCCTGAATTTGCCAGAGCCTTTCAAGGTTGTTCTTACCTGCATTCCTCTGTGATTCTGAACTCCCAATGCAAACAGTCCTCCTTGGCCTTCCCTCTTCCCCAGTCTCTCATCATTCATGGTAGTTCTCAGGAGGGAAGTGTGAACTGGAAATACCCAGGACTAGGGACCAACATATGCTCTAGGACCATGAGGTTCCCCGCTCTGGCTACTATTTATGGTCTATTTACATCTCATCTTGGGACTCATGCATCCCTCCTGACCCTGATCCATGGGAGGCTTTACTGCTGAAGTTAGGTGGGCTTACAATTGGCCCCTAGCTCTGAGTGATAAAAATCAGCAGGACCTAACAAGAAGTCCTGTTTTAGGACCTAGGCTATAGGCTTAAGTGAAATTAGAGTGAATTAAAGGGGAGAAGGGAATGAATGCACCAGCAGAGCAGTGGTGCATAATATGCCAGAATTCAAATAGACACACAGTGGTGCAAATATGACAGCAAATATGACTCCATTTGGCATCAGGTCAAGTAATACCAACAAGGCTGAAACATTGCATGTTCCTCCTTGTTTAGATGGGGCTACTGAAGGATAGGTGTGTGTGTGTGTGTGTGTGTGTGTGTGTCTGGGGGCTGGTTGGGGAGACCCCTGATACTTAGGGTCACAATCAGACTTTGAGTCTTGATTATAGGCTGTTGAGTTAGAGTTCATGCCTCACCCCCAGAGCTGACCTGCTGACCAGGATCCTTAACCCCTAACCTGACTGTGGTAGTCATGGTGTTGAAGTTTTATTTCATCCGAGGAAGAGATCAAGCAAAGACTGAGAGACTGGAAAAGTTCATGAGTGGACACAGGGTTAAGGAGAAAAGGCAGAGCTGTGTCTAGAAGACACAGGGATTCTGTCTGATGTGGTTAAGGACAAGGGTAAAGATGGAGCAGGTGGAAGCAAAGTTCCTCCCAACGGTGAAACCAGGGAAACTTCGTTGGGAGCAGCACCAAGGACCATTAGAGAACTGGGTTCTTCGGGGAGACTTCCTGGCAGTCCACACACTGTTTATGATACTTAGATTTGTTTTCTGATGTTCTTGTTTGCCCCTGCTCCTACAGATTCCTTCAGTTGGTCTCAGTGCTCCACACCCAGACAAAATGATTTCTTGAGGTGTTTATGCCAGCTGCTCTCCTCTCTAGCACTGAATTTAGATGGTGCTGGTGTGAGTCTGTGCAGCTATCACTACAGGGAGTGGAAGAGTCAGGAGGGCTCATTCTGGGAGTGGTAGATCCTCAGGAGGCTGAGGGGATGGATAGGTACTTGCAAGACCACCAACTGCCAACTGCGCATGGCCCAACAGGAAGAACGCAGAAGAGCTCAAGAGAGCACTGAGAGCATTTTAATGAAGTCTGTTTAAAGTCCACAGACATAGGAAAATAATAAGAGAGAGCTTCAGTGGTCTCCTGAAGTTCTGTGGTCTCCACAGAACTTTGCAGCTCTTAGCACCCTAAGTCAAAAAGGGTCAGTGAAGCGAGATTCACTGGATTCCAGAGATGAACCTCTGGAAAGATCCCGTGACATTTGTTCAGGTGGAGTAAACATGCGGCTTCCAGAGTCCCTGTTGAGAGAATCTTGAGACGTGTCGTACTGATGAGAAGACTTTCTAAGTTCCGGCTGTACGGTGACACTGTGGGACTGAGAGGAGGCCCCTGTGAGTCCTAATCCTGAACCGAGGCTTTGTTAACCCCTAAGGAAGATCCAGATCCCCCCCTTGGTGGGAACTCTAGATTCCAGTGGGGGCCTCCTTTCCTAGTACCTCTTCTACCCTTTTCTTTCTTTTCTTCTCAAAGTAGTAAATGTATAGTCTGGACCAGGGAACAAAGTGGAGATGGGGTAGTCAGTCAGGAAATAGGTGTATCTTCCTTTGGGGGCACTAGGGTTTGCAGAAGTCACTCACCCACCAACAGCCATGATTACCAGAGACAGAACAATGCTGAGAATTACAGCCCACAAGAAGGTTCTTTGGGTATCAGCTGGGGGTGAAAAAGGGGAGCCAGATGTTTGGGGAGCAATCAGGGCCATCTTGCCTAAGTGAGAAGGTCACACTATTCCTTTATTTGCTCATTCAGTCACTCATTTGCAAACACTAAGTACCTATTTAGTGTACATACATATATCTAGAGACGAGTGAGACATGATCCCTGCTCTCTAGGAGGGAGACAAGCAACCAATTATGGTGTGGTGTCCCAGGAAAGTGTAATGGGACAGGCCAGAGGAGGGTTGATGAGCCTTGCAAGGTGGGACCTGGTCAGAGAAAGCTTTTTAGGAAACAAAGCTGAAGTGGACCTTGAAAGACCAATTGGAGTTCAGTTCAACTGGTCAAGGGCCAAAGCTGCGTTCCAGGCAGAGAACACAATTTTTAAGGGCAGCCTGTGTGTTCAGTGTGTCAGCAGCTCAGTGTGGCTGGGGAGTTGGGGAGGTAGGGAATGATACACATGAAACCTCTTGAGGAGAGTGGATTTTTTCTGGGGGAAATGTGAACCAAATAAGGTTATTCACAGAGTATGTTTGGAGGTAGATTTACTCCCTGGAAAGGTTGGTTATAGAAATAAACAATGATGAGGAGGAACTGGAAGGCCAGATAGAAGATCTGCCATAAACCAGGTTAGAGGTGAGGATAAGGACGTGGAAAAATAAGTGGTAGATGTTGGGAAGAAAACATGACACTGCCTTTAAGACTTATTTAACAGTATTTGGGGGACTTGTGGGTACCTATAAACTATGATGGGTCATTGAGTGCTTGTTCAAGAGGTCGAGAACTTGAGAGGGGTCACTTGTGTTTAGGGGTCCCCAAAGGATTATTTAGGGTTAATAGAGATAGGTCTGGGCATGTCTCCAGGCATTATGACTTTGAGGATTCCAAATATCTCCAGGGAGCATGTCCTAGAGTCACATGACTCTGAAGAGGGACACGTGGAAATCCAGAAGTATGAGAAGGTCCTACCCTCACTGATGAGGAAGGAGTTCAAAAAGTGTTTGGCAGAACAGAGGATGAAGTTATCTGGACCTTCTACAGTCCTATTGGTTAGGGAAATGTTAGGGGGAGGCTTGAGAGTGGGTGGATCTGTGGTGACTAACCTGGGCATATAGTAGGATCTTTGCAGATGAGGACGTGTTTCTTACAGCTAGAACAGTCCACGACCTCCATTTTGTATAGGTCTGTGAGAGAAGACAATAAGGTGCCTCAGAGGGGACCTAGGTATTCCTCACCCCTCACCTAGGCCTGCTCCCCAAAGATACTTACCACAAGAATTGTTGCAGGCTTCCGGGAAGGGTGAGATGGAAAGAAATTGAGGTGCTGGGGAGGCAGGCAGGATCTGGAGGGATGGGACTTGAGCCGGAAATGGAACTGGGAGAAGGTGGGCAGGGAGGGGCTCCTAGGGGAGCCTGAGATTCAACTGTTCTCTTGGGGTCTAGAGGAAGGTTGGGGCTGGACACGGGACAAAGGCAGCCCCACCTCTCACCCTTCTTCTTCAGATCCTCAGATCTCTGGCTCAGCTTCTCAGAAAACAGTCGCTTCTGCGTCTTAACCTCATTCATGAATTGCTGCTTATCTGGGTGGTGTGGGAGGGAAAGCTCACTAGTATCAGGCACTGTGTATAGGTGGAATCAATGAGGTGACTTCCTCAAAGTTGGGGGTTCAAACAGTTTTTTTTCAAAGAGCCATGGCTGGGACCACATCCTCACCATCTCGCAACTTCTGAATGGCTGTAGCTATGTGACTGAATAATTTGGCTGCTGCTTCCTCCAAATGATCCTGTCCTAGAAACAGAATGTGAGACAGTGGAGGGGTGGTCAGGAAAGTTAGCTCTCAGGCCTGGTGAGAGGGTCAGATCCAAGTTCTGGTCTCCTTATGGTACCTCACCTAGATACCAAGGATGGGGGAAGACTCTTTTCTCTTGGAACAGGGAGTGAATGCTTTGGGAAAGGTCTGTGGGTGGCCCTGGGGTGCCCCATAGGATCTGCAGGTCATAGTCCATTAAAGCAGGCAGTTCTGGCCAGCACTGAAGGCAGTTCTGCCCTTGAGCAGCAGGCAGGAGACAGCTGAGCAGGAGAAGCAGCATCTTTGGGGTCTTGGGGGTCATCCTTCTGTGCCCCAACTAGCTGTCTGGAAGTTCCACATGGAACAACTGACCTTTGTCTCCAAGGAAACCACATTCTTTTGACATAACAGAAATACATCCTGTAGGGTAACATGGGGCTGGAGTGATAACACAGTGGCTAGGGTGTTTGCTTTGCACGCAGTTGACCCGTGTTGGATTCCTCTGCCCCTCTCGGAGAGCCTGTCAAGCTACCAAGAGTATTCTGCCCACACGGCAATGCCTGGCAAGCTACCCATGACATATTCGATATGCAAAAAACAGTAACAACAAGTCTCACAATGGAGACGTTACTGGTGCCCACTCGAGCAAGTTGATGAACAACCAGAGGACAGTACTACAGTGCTACAGGGTAACATGAGACCCAGGCACAGATTGTGGCTTCAGCTTCAAACTGAGGTCTCTGTTTCTTCCTCTGATGAGGGAGTGACTGATATTTCCAGAGAAGTTACTTGCATGGATCAGGGAGATGTTTCTGCCCTGAGTGTAGTGCTCAGCTCTCCTGGAGGCATTGATTATGTTTGTAATAGTTTATCAAGACTGACATTTTACAGGCCAGGAGAATGCCATAGAATTAGTTGTGTAAAGCTCTTATGCACTTAGAAGTGGTCAGCCCCGGGGAAGCTTATGGAATATATATCTTTTTTCAAATGAGATGTATAAATTGGCAGAGATCCCTGTGCTTTATCAGCCCAACGGGCTTAACTAGCTCCTTCTTCTACACCATAGACAAAGCATATAAATGGTTCCAAACCATGTATGGAAATACACAGATCAAAGTCACCTTTAAGGCTACAGTTCTTATGTGCCATGTGCACTGTAGAAAACCAAAGTCCTTACTCTTCGGTAAAAGGAAAGCCACTGGGATCCTTGTCAGTTTTCCCTCATCTGGTAAGCTTTGCCCTTCCACCTTACACTTTCAATCAGTTTCTAAGTGTCTCAGACTGAATTATGGGAAGCAAAAAGTCACCAGGCATTTGAAGACTGATTCTAAAGTGAACAAGAGACAAAAGTCACAGTGAGAATTAGAAGTTTTAGGAAAAGGCTGCAGATACACTGTGGAAATAGAAGGACACTTAGAAATCTACAATTAAATAGATATGAACATTGCTGCCAGGTAAAACAAAGCCAGAGAATGAGAATTATTCAAAATGTGATAGCATGAGTTCAAAAATTCCACTGATGTTCCAGGAAATAGAGTTTTGGAAATCTTCATGCAGAAGTATATAAACAGAGATGGGAAAAGGAAAAGATGCAGTTAAAAATCATCTGTGTAGCCTATTACATCACTAAGCCAAATTTCAGAATGGAAGAAGAGAGAGAATAGAGGGAAGCAAATTATTCATCATGAAGTTCGGTGGGACTTCAACTTCTAGGGAGATGGGTGTGGAAGATAGACAGAAAATGTTGCTGGTAGGCTGGAGAGAGAGTACAGTGAGTAGGACTCTTGTCTTACACTTTGCCGATCTGAGTTCAAATTTTGGCATTACACAGATGGTTCCCTGAGCAATGCCAGGAGTTATCCCTGAGTGGAATCAGGTGTAAACCCTGAGCATGGTCTGGAGTGGTACATTCCTAAAAACAACAACATCACCGCCCCCGCCCGCAAAAAAAAAGTTTGTCAGAGAAATAGCTCTGAAGTGAGAGGGGGATAATGAACACAGTAGAGCTAATGCTCTCCCTCTGGCTCTGCACAATTTCAGGCTTAAGGAAACTACTCTCCTTTTGTGCAATGGAGAAAATCCTCCTGGAAGTGAAGATACTCATTCTCTGTAATCAAGCCTGGAAAAACCGTTGTTCTTTCTATTGATGCTTGGGGGAGGTGATAAAAGCTTCAGGTTGTCATCTAAGATATTCGCCTCTTCCTGTTCCATTGCTTCTCAGGTTGCCCAATCTGATGTGTGTCTGGGGACAAAGTAAAAGTGAATTCACTAATATCATCTTGGAAACAAATTTAAGATGGGAAAAATGTGACTTTCCAGACTGAAAGGGCACAATGAGAAAGACCTCTAATGCTTAGGATGAGAAAAACATCATCCAGGATCTGAGAAGAAACAGACTATGTTTCTTCTCAGTGGACCAGTGACCAGGTTGTCTTCATATTTCTCAAGAGCAGCACAAGATAGCAGTGGACAACAGAATAGTGTTTTCATAGTGGGGCAATAATCTTTCCATCTCAGAACAGGATGCTCAGTCACAACACCAGTCAAGGATGGTGGTTTAGTGGGGCATGATTAAAATGGGCCCCTATTACTTAGAAAGCTGCTGAAGAACATGTTTCAACTCCATGAGCAAATTCCTTAAAAATATATTGCTAAAACAGTCAGAGATAGAGAATCTGACCCTGCCCCACACTGAGAATTCTAATGACTGTGCAGGAAAGCCCCATACTGATAATAGTCTAAACATTAGGTTCATCCCGAGAAAGTTCAGGGTGGGGTGGCCGAAGTTTACTCATTCTAGTTGTTGGGTCCCTTTACTAATTTGCTTTGGTCTCATTGACTCTCTTATGATTTTCCTGGCAGGATTAGTCTTTTCTCAAACTGAAAGTAGTAAACTTTAAGACTTGGGCTTTTGGTTTGTAGGGGAAGTGGTCAGAGTGGACCCACCCTGGCTCAATATCATCTCAGTTGACTTTCACAAGTGTAGCATCCTGTGCTGAGGTTGTTTGATTCTCTAAATTGACATGCAAATTAAAGTCACAGGGTCTGAGGGACTGGAGAATGTGTTAATTCAACCCATTTCCTGTTGTTGGAATGCTCTTGGCCTATTAGTTTTATAATCTCTGCTTGCTTGTCCTGATTTATCCCTTTGTATCTAATTTAATTCAGCTGTACATTTTAAACTTGTAATTGACTAGGATTCTAAATAATAAAGGCAGCTTTTTCTACTTCTAGACATCATGGGACATCAGAAGCTTCTTCTTGATGCTGAGATCACATCCATCTGGGAGTTTAGCCACTGGGACACAGACACACTAGGCAGCTTATCTGGTGTGAAGACTGATATCAACTCTTCTTACAAGGCCAAACCTCATCCCAATCCTAAATCTCTCAGTTTCTATCCTAGAATCTGATTTTATGCCTTAGTCACATTTTGTTTGCCCTTTCCCCCAAACTATCTCTCGCCCTTTGGCAGGACAGAGTTTGGAAGCTGAATACCCTCTGGCACTGGCAAATTTGGGGTCTGATACCTTCCTTTCTCCCTTCCCAGTACAGAGTTCCCCACATATTAGTTATTATTTTTGTATACCGAATTGTTGGGCTGGAGCGATAGCACAGCGGGTAGGGCATTTGCCTTGCACACAGCCAACATGGCCGAGCTGAGTTCGAATTCCTCCACCTCTCTCGGAGAGCCCGGTAAGCTACCGAGGGTACCTCGCCCTCATGGCAAAGCCTGGCAAGCTACCCGTGACGTATTCAATATGCCAAACACAGTAACAACAAAGTCTCACAATGGAAACGTTACTGGGCCTGCTCAAGAAAATTGATGAACAATGGGAGGACAGTGACAGTGACTGAATTGTTACAAATTTAAAAGCCTAAAACAGCACTCATGTGTCATTTCTTGGTGTGTATTGGTCAGAAGCTTGGTCACTGTCTAGCTGTGTTGTTTATTCAGGGTTTCACAAAGTTAGAAAGATTGAATCTTCTGACAGAATTGAACTTCTCCTGTTCTCATGCACAAGGAGAGAAAATTTACTGGGTGTAGACTCCATGGGAGTACACAGAATTTGGATAACTGTATTAGAATTTTGACTACCACAACTCCACTAATTATATCCTTGGAATTTTATTGTTGTTATTATTATTAGTTTTGGGTCATAACCAGAAGTGCTCGAGAACTGCTACAGTACTCAGTGGTCACTTGTAGAAGTGCTCAGGGGAATCTCATGCAGTGTTGGGAATGGAATTTGGGCCTTTTATGTGCAAAACATGCTTACGATCCATTGAGTCGTATCTCAGACCCACTGTTTAAAATTTTAATGTTGTCAAAAGTAATTTCCTTACCCTAAGTAAAGTAAGTAAAGGCCCTCCTGTTGATCATCGATTTGCTCGAGCGGGCCCAGTAACGTCTCCATTGGAGACTTTGTTGTTACTGTGTCTGGCATATCGAATACGTCACGGGGAGCTTGCCAGGCTCTGCCGTGCGGGCGAGATACTCTCGGTAGCTTGCTGGGCTCTCCGAGAGGGGCAGAGGAATCGAACTCGGGTAGGCCATGTTGGCTGCGTGCAAGGCAAATGCCCTATCGCTGTGCTATTGCTCCAGCCCCTTACTCTAAATAGTTACAAATTTGTGCTAGGAAATTGTTCCTCCCCATGACCTTTATTAGGAATGTAAGTTGTTGGCATTATTGCTAAAATGCAATCTTGACAGTAGCTACCAAAACTTAGCACATTCCTCATAGGTAAAGGCCATGTCCTTTATCCCCCAACCTGAGTAATCTCCTTAACATAAAGTTTTGTGACAGGTTCTCCCTAAGTAGCAAAGACCCTCCTGTCTCAGAAGTTTCTAGAATATAGAGGTTACAGCCCACTGGCAACCAAGGATCATGGCTTACCAGCTTACTCATTTTACAACAAAAGCACCCACAGTCTTCCTTATTCATTAACATTGTGGCTCAAATTCACCTAGATCCAAGCTTTGTAACACATTTGGATCTCTTGGAGGGTACTGAGACATTACAAGTTCTGAGCAAAAGGTTTTTCATTTTTAGGTGTAAGAAATCACACCTGAAACAGGACAGCAGTGAGAAATCAAGTGACAAGTAAAATATTACAGAGTCACATCCCTTAACAAAGCACAGGACCAAGTAACTAGCTTTGGTAGCAAAACTACCTAGAGGTTACTGACCTGTAAATCCTGTCCAGTTGTAGAAGGAAGCTTGGTTGAAAGGACGTTTGATAAATCCAAGAGGTTGGTATCTGACTGGTCAATGCCTTTACAAGAAATTGGATTATTTG